TCAACAATGGCGTTGAGTTCTTCGTCTTCGTCTTCCTCGCCGCCGTCTTCTTCGTCGGTCAATTGCCTTTCATCTGCGCACTCAAGGGGCTCGTCATCGTGGTCTTCATCTTCATCCTCTTGGACCCGATTTGACTGATGATGCGGGTGACCAGTTGGGGGATCATAGGTGCCATCCGTCGGATCGGCAACAGTGCCATGCGGGCCCCCTGCGTGACTTGGGAGGTTCATGCCAGAGCCGGAAGCCAGCTGTTCACGGAGTCGGGATGCATTGGCAATTTGGGAGAGAATCGAGTCCCTGGTCCGCGAGGGGCGAGGCTTTTCCGCCACGGCGATTCGGGGATGCAGGAAGTCATCCAAGGCCTTGAAGGTAGCAATAGCATGGATCGACACCATGATGTTGCGATAAGGACGAGGAACTTCGGACCCTTCATCGGCAACAAGCTTGAGTCGGAGCTGTTTGCTCAACATGTAGGCGGCATTGCTGCGGGTATTCTCCAGCGAATTGTGGCTAACAGTGAGGACCTCGAAATGTTCCGTCCTGCTGAGCAAGTCTTGCAACTTGCGGATAAGTACGCTGAAAGGTGTTGTGGCGGTGCTCTGGCTCTGAGCCTTGTCTGAGATTGAAACACCCATAAATGCGCGCAGGAAATCGGCTCTGGCATCACGAATAGAAGGTGCTTGGAAGTTGCCAAGAACACTCAGAAGAACATCTATGATACCGGAATTGAGCAATTCAGCGCTAGTAATGCTCTCCATGGCGTCTCCATCGAAGTATGACGCGAGCTGTTTAAATAAGAGAAGACCACCCTCACCACCACGGGAATAGCGTGACTTGGTTTCAAAGGCGAGAGATTTCAGTGCTGTCAAGATCCTCAGAGCCTCTGCTCGAACAGTTTCGCCATGACTTGCTTCATATACCTCGAGGAAAGCTTGAGCATCTCGGATAACTACGTCGTTGAGGGCATTGTCCATCTTTTGTAGACTGCGTGGGCCCGCCATGAAGTCATCCTCGGAATCAGACATGTCATCATGGTCATCATCCTCGCCATCCTCGTCGTCATAGTCGTCGGCTTCATCGTCTTCATCCTCATCATCTCCCCCAGTCTCCCCGGCGATTTGGTTGGGGCTGCGCGATGGATCTGTGGTTATGTTTATATTTGTGGGATCGGATGAATCGATGTTCTCCTGGTCTCCTGACAGAGAGCCTTCGGATAGTTTGATGATTGCGGAGATAACTCCTTCACGGTGGAATTGATGCTGATAGACATGTTCGAGCCGCTGGAACAGTAATTCAGCGCAGCGTAGAGCCAAAGATACGAGAGAAGGGTGGTCTTTCTGCGACAGAATAGCAGCCAGGAATGAAGCATAAGGGACTGTGCGCAGAGCGTCCTCAATCAAAGAAGGCTCGAGAATGTGCAGCATTTTCAGCTGTGCAATCAGGACTTTCTGGCGGACGTGCAGATTAACTGTGCTCGAGTAGGCATCTGTCAAAGTTGGGAACAGAATCATTGCAAATCGCTTAAGCTTAGGTTTGCAATTATCGAGCAGGGACCGTCTCTCCTCCGCTGTCTCTTTAGTTTTGGAGGACCTCAGTCCGATGGACATGTGGCTATCAAAGTATGAGCTTAGCAGATTGTCTGTCTTTGAGGCATCGCGGCTTGGAACACCTGGCAGGAGCTCGCAGATGACATTGAGAGTTTCAAATACTTGTTCACGGGGCCGATGAATCAATGCCTGCATAACTAGCACGCTGTCCATCTTGACGGCCGTGTTATCCACATCCTGTGGTGGTGACACGCCGGTCAAAATTTGGTAAAGCGTATCCACTACATCCATCTTGAGAAGCTCATTTGACAATCGTGGGCTCGTTTTTGATACAATTGCCAATACCCTAAGGAATTGCGTGTGGATGTGAGGCCCGATCAGGTTGGTCGTTCCTGGGAGTAGGAGACGAAGAACAGCTTTGAGCATTGCAGGCTCGATGAGCTCCTCCAAGTTCTCAGGTCGGTGCTTGAAGCTCTCGACAATCCGTGATACGCATAGACACCCTTGCTCCACGACCTTGGGATCATTGCTAGCCAAGACGTTGAGTAAGGTCGGCATTACATCCCGTACCACAGGGAACGAGTCATGGGGAAGGTTGCGACAGCAGTTGGCGGCCGTACTGACTGCTGTGCGTTGAGTGCTAGTTGGGAAGAAATCCAGATATGTGAGACAAGCCGTCAATCCACCTTCTCGCACAATTGAGGCTGGGAAGTCGACTGAAATCTTGGCCAAGGTACTCAAAGCCTGCTCAGCTAGATCGATAAACTGTATATCAAGTAGCTTTTGGCAAAGGATGGGTACAGCACCACCATATACAACATTCGCTACGGAGCCCCGCAGGGCCTCCATTAGGTTTGCGAGAGAGCGACATGCAAGAAGCATAATCTCGGGATTCTCTTCACCGAACTGATTCGGTTGCATCAGGGCCACGAGCTCCTTCACGTATGGGTCCGGCGAAAATTGGCCAGAGAGGTTATCCTCGTTCGAAACAAGCAAGAGATCCGACAGCTCTTGCAGGGCGATCAGTTGGAGTGATGGATCATCCTTTGCTCTCAAGTTGGAGAGGATATCTCGCAGACGTGAGGACATGCCACTCATCATGCCAGTCAGCGCGCGTAGAGTGCTCTGGAGCCCCATGGGGCCTCGGCCGCCGAACAGGCTGCTGTGGAACGGATCCATATCATCATCACCAAACGCTGAGGGGTTGGTGCCATCGTTGCTCTCGCCCGTTTGGGATCCTTGGTGTTCTTCCTGGTGCTCCTCCTGCTCGATTTCCTCCTCTGCATCTCGCATCACAACATCGGGATTTGGCTTGGCGGAACGCTTCTTCGAGCGTCGGGGTGGTGGAGACTGTGTTGTGGCGGGTCGATCTACAAGAAACAGAAGCAATCAGCAACCATCGCATTAAGACGCTAAATTTGTATCACACGGCCGATTCCCGTTCATAAAACTGACCGTTCCGACTGGACTTTCGCCTCGATGGTTGTGGGGATGTCGTCGATTTGGATGATTCCTCCGACGGTCGAGATGACGGTCTATATAAGATCAAGTCAGCCCCTATCCCTATTCATGATTGTACACCAATACCTACCCCGGTTGTGACATGGCTGGACGGCTACGGGCGCCTCTGCGGGGTGCAGAAGGAACAGGACCAGTAGATGGAGCTGTTTGGGATGCTGCAGTCCGCGGTCGCTTGGTTTTCCTTTGGGGCGACGACGGTGTTGGCTGTATCGGAGCGTCTGCTAGTCGGTCGTGGCGGGACGATGCCTTGCGTTTCCGGGAGGAGGTTGAGCCGGCTGTTGGTAGCGGTGAACCGGACTCAGCAGGTGGAGGGTCTGTGGCGAGTCTCGCAGAGGAGCGAGTTATTCTGGATGACATGAGAAAGTGATTCTTTTTGTTTAATTATGTGACGAGATTTGGGCCTGAAGAAAGAGAAAGACAGAGAAAGACGACCGGGATGGTCAAAGCGATAGGCAGGTAGTTGGGTACAGATGACGAATCTAGAAATGTAGAAGCGATGGTGGCGATGAATTGCGAGCCATCCACTTAATATCCCAGGGGGTGAATGGGGAGTACGAGGGCTCGGGGATCAGATTCTCGCCAGTGAGCGTTCACATAAGATGAGTCTGAACGTCCAGGCGGCCAATGTGTACTTGAAAGCGGAGAGAACGGGTGGGAAACTACCTCAGGGAAGAAGAGGCCGTGGAAGTGCCTGCGGGGGAGACGGGATAATCCTCGAGAGGGTCCTGGCGGTTGGCGGAAGGCCTTTGCCTGGCCATAAGTTATCGGATATGGGAAGCTCGATTGAGTAGTCGTCACCGTTTTCAACCCGCCATCCGCACACCTATCGAAGGCTAGCCGAATGGGCTGGCGAGAACGATGTTTCGGGTAGCTGTAACTGTTGCCGTCGGGGTTATGAGATTTCAAGAAAAAGAATTATTACCAATTCCAGTCATACACAAATGATTTTTTTTTAGATGGGGGGTGTTAAGAAGGAGGGGGAGGAAAGAGAAGGGAAATTAAAAAGGAGGATGGTGATGAGATTCGGAGAGCGTCAGGCGGCGGGAGTGCAACATTCGATGATCTAACCAGGTACTTTTATACCCTAAAACAGTATGATCGAACATATATTATACCGTATACTACATGTATGATTATTAGGGGGTTTTTGAAACTAGTGGACTGACTAGTATAACTTACTATTATGATTTATTGCACATGTTTTATTTCATTAACTTGATTTACTTCATTTACTTCATGGCTTTAATCTCTCACACATTTACATCCTGGCTGGATATTGGGCAGGGAGGGCCCGAGACCTGACAGTACAGGTGGCAAGAAATATCTCAAGGGGTCTCTTTGTATATCTTTATATGTTTTATGATACTTATTGTACATATCATACATGTTGTATTTGATATAACTATGTGGTCCAATGAATTGGTTGACGGCGTTCGTTCATACATATTACAGAGCACATTGATACATATTAGAACTCAACGAAAACGCCGAGAACTACATACATAGCATAGGGATGTATGAAAATAAGGACCATGGGAGCTAAACGAACTTTATTAAGCTGCTCACTCCTTAACTTATATTCCTTAGGGAAGGTAATCTCACGGGGTTCGATGCGGATCACGGAGACACGCCGAATAGCACTCGATTGACTCACCGAGGTTGCGATCTTATTAATCACCGGAAAACTCCAGGGCTGGAACCTGACATTCAGCGAGAGAGAAAAAAAAAGGAAAGGAAAAAGGAAACATCACATCTTTCATCTTTCACTTTTCACTTTCATTCGCCTTCTCCGGCGCATTCTCTTGCCGCCTTCGGTTCGCCTCCCCCGCCATTCGCAATTCAGAAATTCATCTCTTCACTTCTCACCTCCCCCGCCTTTTCCCGAGACCCATAGCCTTTCTGCTTTCCCCGGAATTCAAGATCAAGGGTTTATTTTTTTCTCTTTACTATCTCTCCATCATGGCAATCGAAATGGTCGGCGGGCAGAGTGATGATGTCCACCAGACACCCGTCAACATCACCCCCACTCCGATGGAGGACTACACCTTTCCGGAGTATCGCCTCAAGCGCACGATGAACGACCCTGAAAAGACCCCTCTCTTATTGGTCGCTTGTGGTTCCTTCTCACCAATTACCTATTTACACCTGCGAATGTTCGAAATGGCCAACGATCACGTCAGATTCGGCACCGACTTCGAACTTATTGGAGGATATCTGTCGCCAGTGTCGGACGCCTACCGTAAGGCAGGTCTGGCCAGTGCGGAGCATCGGTAGGCGATTCTACATTTATTCTATTCGATCTAGCTGTGCTCGATGACTAACGGGGGTTGATTTATAGAGTTGCGATGTGCCAACTTGCAGTCGATCAAACCTCCGACTGGCTGATGGTGGATACATGGGAGCCAATTCAGAAGGCCTATCAACCAACTGCTGTGGTGCTGGATCACTTCGATCATGAAATCAATGTGGTCCGTGGCGGGGTGGACGCCGGAAATGGAACCCGGAAGCCCGTTCGCATTGCTCTGCTAGCCGGTGCGGACCTGATCCATACTATGTCCACACCAGGTGTATGGAGTGAGAAGGATTTGGACCATATTCTGGGCAAATATGGCGTAAGTTACTTCGGACATTGAATACCGTTCACCCCGCGCTCGAGAAATAAGCCGCTAACAGACCTCTTAGTCTTTCATTGTGGAGCGCAGTGGCACAGATATTGATGAAGCCCTAGCCAGCTTGCAGCCCTGGAAGGACAATATCCATGTCATCCAACAGCTCATTCAGAATGATGTTAGCAGCACCAAGATTCGACTCTTCTTACGACGTGAGATGAGTGTGCGCTACCTCATCCCGGTTCCCGTCATTCATTACATTGAGCAGCATCATCTATATGAGGATGATGGAACGACAGAGAAGGGCAAAGAGAAACAGGAGGGTCGATAAGGATGATACGACCATCTACTACTGCCTGTTGAGGCATACTCTTAATGACCCCCTAGCGACGCCCACATCCTGATGCGATACCCCTTCTGTCCTTTCCTGTGCGACAGACGATGTTTATTTTATTTTTTATTTTATTTTTTGGAGTTTACGGAGTACGTTCGAATTCTAAACTTGTTGGCCTTTGCCCTGGCTCAAAACCATTACCAGCGGGAGAATCTTGCGATCCCCAACTGGGTGTACATATCACCATTTCCGGGCTTATTTTCTTTCCTGTTATGCCCTCTGTATATATGAGGACTCAATAGACCTCTTGGGTTAGACGCCAATTGCTCCAAACCTGATCAAATCAAAGGTTACACATAGAAAAGTCTCTTGAACAAAGTACGCACCTTCGTATGCACCTTCGTATACACGTGAAAAGCAAAGCGGCCGACTATTATTAATATTCAATAGAAATGTTCTCTTATACTGCATCGGATATACTCGACTAGGCAGATCGCATCCACATTCACCATTATAGCATAGGATGACACCATATTATTAGACGGGGGTAGACGGAATGTAAATGCGCATCAGCAATCGTCAGAAAGGGGGTATTACAGTTATTAATCCAAATAAAACCCTAATGCCCCTCAAACAGACCACCTATGCGCCTACATATGTATGTAAGAAGTAATAATTCCCCGGTCTTACACTAAACACCGATCCCCGATCGCCCACTGGTTATCTTCCGTTATCGACTGATCTTGGATCTTCGGCCTCCGCAAATTAACCGGCCAAGACGTGCGCAGAGACCACTTCGCTCATAACAACGATCTTACTTCCAGTCACTATGCTTTAAACCATTGAGAACTCGCCATGTTAATGTTCGAAGAAACCACCCCGGGCGACCCCTCGTGGCCTCTCACCCCTCCTAATTCATCCGATCCAGTACCAAAAGATGTCTCATCGGTGGTGACAGCAATCCATGTGATCTCAACCGAGCGAGCGGCCCTCGCTCACCTTGAGCACATCTACCAGACCGACGCGCGAGCGCAGCACGATCTCGCCCGGGCCGTGGATCAGATTGCGCGGAGCGTGCGCGAGGGTGGGAAACTGGTCGTTTGCGGGGTCGGGAAAAGTGGGAAGGTCGGACGCAAAATAGAGGCTACGATGAATAGTCTCGGTGTGTATAGCGCGTTCCTGCATCCGACTGAAGCCTTGCATGGCGATCTGGGATTGGTTCGGCCGGTAAGCCCACCTGCGCCTGCATAAGAGGCGTGCTCTTGAACTTTGGACCGATCACCTTTGGGTCTTTTTGAAAAGATATTGGAACACCTAGATACTAACTTGGTCTATCCAGAATGATACCGTTCTTCTCATATCCTTTTCTGGTCGCTCACCGGAACTCTTATCTCTGCTCCCGCATCTTCCCGCTACTGTTCCGGTGATCGCTCTTACATCGCATACACATCCTGCTTCATGTCCGCTTCTCTCGTTGCATGGCCCATCGGGGATGGGTATTCTTTTACCGGCTCCTATTCATGAAGATGAAGAATCTTCTTTCGGTGTGAGCGCGCCCACGTCGTCCACGACGGTGGCTTTGTCGCTGGGTGATGCGCTGGCTATTGCTACGGCCCGGAAGTTGCACACCGCGACAGGGAAGAGCCCTGCAGAGGTCTTTCGGGGGTTCCACCCTGGTGGTGCTATTGGAGCGGCGGCGGCGGCGGCAGAGACGCCGCTAACCACGCCGTCGAGTGGTATGTCAACGAGGGCATTTGACTCCCCAGCGTCGTCTATGTCTCTTCCATGGGAGGAAATCACGAATACTCAGTTGATTCCTCCTTTCACTTTGCACTCACCACCGGAACAACGTGTCATTTCTCGAGATATGCTGGTCCCCCTCGATCAGATTCCCACTGCCTCCGCGTCTTCATCGCAGTCACCCGGCGATGTCCGTCTTCTCGATATCCTTCTGACAGCCATCCAGAATCCCAATGCCAAATCATGGGTACTGTTGTCTCCGTCTGAAATAATCCCTCCACGGCACATTCGTGCGCTCCTTTCTCCTGGTGGAGATATGGACATGCGTGTGTCCGAGGTTATAGCCAAGAATCCTGGTACTTCATTCGTTGTACCTCAAAGTAAATGGCTCTTGGTGGCAGACTCAACACCCTTGGCTGAAATTCGACGTACTGTTTCTGAATCTCGAAATAGATCAGATTCCGTCTCTGTCGTTGCTGTCGTGAAGGATACAGCCTCCGGCAGTTTCTTAGGGGTGATGGAGGCAGAGGATCTATTGGATGGATGACATGGCTGAAAAGCGACCCTGTTTTCTTCTTCTTTCTTGGATATACTCACTCGATTTTACATATCGTTCGCATTATCATGCATTCGGTTGACGATGTTACGCCCGCACAGCTTTGTTTCTCTTTGCATACTACTTTTTTTTTTCTAAATGCACATTTACAATCGAAGCCTGAGCCTCACAGCCAAGGCTGTTCATACACGATGCAAATCAACGCCAATGATATTTCTCATGGTAATACAATCAGTATGCAAAGTCCCAGGTCTATATAGTACAGAATACCCTCTCCCGACACACAACACAACAATCACAATCAAGCCTTAACAATCGGCTTAATACCCTTATGGATAGCAGCAATACCACCGGTAAGATTCTCGAATCCCTGGCCAGGAATCATAAACCCAGCCTTCTGAATCATCCCCCTAAACTCCTCCTGACTGGGGAACCGCTCAATACTCTCAACAAGATACTGATAACTATCCCGATCCCCAGCGACAACCTGCCCAATAAGCGGAATAGCACTAAAGTTCCAGCGCTTATAAATCCCATCTAGAACGGGGTTATCAACCTTACTGAACTCCATACAAGCAAAGACACCACCGGGCTTGAGCACACGATACGCCTCATTCAGCGCAGCCTGCTTATCCGTGAAGTTCCGGATTCCAAAAACCACAGTGTAAAGATCCACCGAGGCGTCGGGGATATGCGGCATGTGCTCAGCGTTCGCCTCGACAAAGTCCAGTCGCGACGTGTTGTAGTAGGGGGTGTCGAGCGAGCGCTTGCGACCCTCGGCCAACATGTCCGCGTTGATATCGCTGATCGTCACGCGGGTCTCCATGTCGTGGTTGACGTTCGTCGCGTGGTCCAGCATCCGGAAGGCGATGTCACCGGTCCCGCCGGCGATGTCCAGGATGTTCCAGCCGCGTTGGTCGGCGGTCATGGCGGGGAGACAGGAGCCTGGGTTTAGGGATCGCACGAAGTGGTCTTTCCAGAGGCGGTGGATGCCCAGGGACATTAGGTCGTTCATGCGGTCGTAGGAGGCTGCTACGGAGCTGAAGACGGCGCCGACTGTAGGGTTTTGGTGGTTAGCTATGAGGTTCGGGGTTTGGTTCAATTGAGATGGTGGTCAATTGGATAGGTTGAGGGAGATCCTGGTCCTTACCTCGTGTCTCTTTCTCTGACTCGGGCACATTGGTGAAGCCGAAGTGTGTCATGCGGTCATTGCCTGGCTTCTGCTCCTGGGTGCGGTTGGCGCAGGAGAAACAGCGGTAGGGAGTGGTGGGTTGGAACGCGCGACGCTTGGCGCTGTAGTGCAAAGCCCGCCAGGCGGAGCGAGTAGACATGGTGGACATTGGAATTGATGTTTGTAAGTCTGGAGAAGCTCAGGTGAGCCGGGCAACTTTTCTTTTCCAGTCCCGGTCCCCACCGGTGCGTGCCCTTAGGCATCCCCGCACAGACCAACCAGAGCGTCTGGTTTATAGTAATGCTCTTGCTGTAGAAAAGACATTGGGATTTTATAATTATGCTTAAATTGGGTGTTTTTCTATCATCGGCTATGCTGGCCAACTACTGTAGTTATTATACCTACTATGTAAGTTTTGGAAATAGCAAATATCAAGTGGAGTATGATCCAATGAAGAAAAAGATAGAAGTATATATACAAAGTATCAAGCATAGGAATAATCACCACATTTTCTCCCATACCCGCTTCACCCAATGCATTTTAGCCAGCTCCTCCTTCCGGCGTTCCGCCCAGCCACCTTCTTCCCAGATCTTGCACTCTTCATCGATCTCCGCCTTCCCAGAGTACAAATCTGCCTCTGCAACTTTCACAAAGGAACTCCGATGATACACCTTCCAGAAGACAAACATGACAACCCAAAATGCGAGACCGAAATACGAGGTAATGAAGCCTTGCACACTGAACGGCTTAAAGACAGAGAAGCCATTGAACACAGCGGTCAAACAGCCAATAACGATAGCGAGGATGGCACCGTATGGCTGGAATGGTGCAGCCCAAGGGACGAAAGACTTGCGGTCGATTCCTTGCGCTTTCATAGCGCGGTACCAGGCGATAAAGACGCAGACCATGCCCGTGTAGGTGAGAACGAAGGCGATGGTAGTCAGATCGACGAACCAGAAGAAAACCTCGACGGAAGAGGTACTAGCCACGAGGAAGGTAATGCAAGACAAGACAGATACTGTGATGACACAGTAGATGGGGATGCCGGATGCAGTACATTTCAAAAGGAACTTCGGCGCCTGGCCATCACGGGCGAGAGAGTAGAGTGTGCGGCTGGAGCTGTAAAGGTAGGCATTACCACAAGACCATCCCGAGAGCAGGATCAGGAAGTTGATCAGATCCGGCAAACCTCTTATACCGAGGTTTTCGATTCCGATAACCCAGGGTGAAGCAGCGGAGCCAGCAGCACCGTCAGTAATGGCGGACATGAGACGTGGGTCGCGGGGACTGCAGATGATGCCTACAGCCAGGACTCCGACGACATAGAATCCAACAATACGCCAGAAAGTCATCTTCGCAACTCGGGGGATGGTCACCCGTGGGTTCTGAATTTCTCCTGCGGCCAGGGCTGGGAGATCGGGGCCAGCCACGGAGAAGGCGGCGTAAACCATGACGGAAAAGAAGCCCAAGAATCGGCCCGTGGTGCCCTCGGTATAATATTCGAACATGACGCCCTCGGTCCAATTCCTGAAACCATAGACATCGTGCTTGGGGTTTCCTCCGACCATTGTGATGAAGGTGAGGAGGACAAGTCCAATGAGGAGAAGGATCTTGGTCGATGCTAGGACGAACTCGCTCTCGCCGTACCATTTCACAGAGACAAGGTTGAGCATTGTGCAAACAACCAGTGCCATGGCTACCCACACGGCGGGATTAACGCTTGTGTTCCAGTATTGCATGATTGTTGAGACTGCAGAGTACTCTGTACAGACTAGCATTACACCGCCGTAGAAATATACCCAGCCCCTAGAAGGGTTAGTGTCTGCAGCGTAAAGCAAAGCGAGATAGGGCATGGAAAGTCTTACATAGCAAACCCAAATGCCGGGTCAATAAACCGGGCAGCGAGCTCAAAGATCGACCCACGAATAGGAAGGTATGCAGCCATTTCTCCAACACACAGATTGACAGGCAAGATAAAGAGACATCCCCAAATAAGATACCCAAGGAACAGTGACAGCGGACCGGCATCCCGTAGGTAAGATCCAATACCGACGAAAAGCCCCGTACCGATTGAGCCCCCTATGGCCATTAATTGCACATGTCTGGATGACAGACCGCGCTGTGTCTCTCGGTAGGGTGAAACATCGCCTGCGCTAGTATCCTCAGGGATGGAAACGTCTGTAGAAACTTTTTTCTCCATGGCAAAATACTACTCAAGCCTATACTGACTCCCGACCAAGAGACGGGGAACATGACCCTTTATATGCGCACTGACATCGGGATCAAGAGTGTGCGGAGCCAAGAAGGATGTTGATAGACAGCATACATGTTGATCATACAACCTCTAAACAAGACTGCCAAGAACATTGGCGTGCGAGACACGAGACCTTAAACGCTACTGATAAGAGAGATATCGAGCAAGATTACCTCAGTCTTCGGGATCGTCCCAAAAGGGGGAGGAGAAGGCGATGCTAAACCTTGAGTATCTGCCAAGTGATAAGCTTATCAGAGATTAACGGGGACTGGCCGTGGTTGACTAGTCCATTGGACCACTTGGGGGGACCCTGCTCCGGCCTGACAAACTAAGACTTTTGATAAGACATGTTAATGCCTCAAGGACTCTCCCATTTGTGGGGTAAACTCTTAGACAAAATCAAAACATTGATATCGGAAGGTGCTCAGGGGATGGATGGTTCACGGAAACCTTAAGACCAGTAGGCTTAAAGTAATTCATAATGTTATATCATCTTCCAATGGCCAAAAAAAATTCTCCGATGCCCTGGGATCCATTCACTTTTGGACTGCGGTGTACAGTGTACATATCGTGACGTTCTCTCTTAACTTTTAAGACGGCCGACACACAGCCGAAGCCAAAAGGTATACCCCCGCATTTTAAGCAAGCCAGCGGGGCCTGAGCACTAGACGCCGGCCCGGTCTGTATATTTCCTAGGTTAAGGTTAAGGTCCATGACGCGCAAGACTTTGCTTATGTATAATGAATGAGGCCTATATATATATATATATGGTTAAGTTTTAGGTTTGGGATAAGAATTCCAAGGTTGTGTTCTAGAAAATGTGAAAGGTATGAAATGCAAACACAGCAAGTATAGGTAGGAGAAACGAATAGCGGTAATAAACACAAATCGCGAGTTCATTTCGAATACCGCCAGAGATATAAAATATAAACAGATGACTAGATACAATCCTTTTGATCTAATCTATGAAATAATTGAAAACACACCCTTAGACTCCCACAAATCCACACCCAAACCAGTGAATCATTCAAACGCCAACGGTAGAAAACCCTCCGTATGAGCCCCATCCAACGGCCACGGCCAATCCGACAACAATTCCGGCGGCAGCTGGAACTGCATCATCTGCTCGCCCATTGCCGGCGGCGGACCGACTGTGGGGACCGGCCCACTGGGAGGAATGTATGTTGTGGGTGGAATCGGGACTTCGCGTTTAGTCTCCATGGGGATTGTGTTATGTTGAGGGCGCGGGTGTTGCGCCGCGAGGTTGAGTAGTCGGGAGGTACGCATGTAGCCATCGATTCTGTCTACCTGCGACCGGAGTCGTTGGCTGGCGCCGGCGGCGCGCTGGAGACCTGTCTCGAGGCGGCCTAGGAGATCGGCCATTTCGAGTCTGCGGGGAGGTTAGTGTTTTGGGTGGTTGGTTTGGGATATGCAAAAAAAAAGAAGAAAGAAAAAAAGAATCAAAGACTTACAGCAACGTGCGGACGCGTTGGTAGGATGCTTCTGATAAACTTCCTTCCATTACAGAGCCGAGGATATAGCCGATTCCGCCGAGATGATGGAGCT